TACAGGTATAAGGACAGACACACAGACCAATGGAATAGAATTGGAAGTGCAAAAATAAACCCATACATCTATGGTCAATCGATTTCTGTCAAGGGTGCTAAACCCATTCAACTGGGAAAAAATAGTCTCTTCAATTAATGGTGCTGGGATAACTGGATCTCCACAGGCAAAAGAATGAGACCTATACCTCACACCATACATGAAAATTAACTGAAAATGGTTAAGAACTAAAACCAAAAAACGCTTAGAAAACACAGGGATAAAGCTTTCAGACCCTGTTTTTGGCAATGGATTCTTAGATATGATACCAAAAGCACAACCAACAAGAGAATTTGGAGATTCAGAATCCAGAGAGTGTGGCCAACACCTAGAGTCTGGAGGGCAGGGCATTTGTCTAAATGGCCTCAGAGAAGAGGATTATTTTCAAGCCTTGTGGCCTAATGTAACATGTTCTGCTGACTTGCTTGGTGCCTCTTATCCCTTCTTTCCCTCCAATTTCTCCCACTTGTAATGGAAATGTCTAGCTTATGCCTGTTCCACCATTGTACTTTGGAAGCAGGTAACTTGTATTCTAGATTTCACAGACGAGGAATTTTTTTGGATTTTGGACTTGGAGTTGATTTAAGACTTTTGTGATATGATGGGGTGAATGTGTTTTACATGTGACAAGAACATGAATTTTGGGGGGCCAAAGGGTAGAATGTCATGGATTGAATTGTCTTCCCCAAAAATAACTGTCAACTTGGCTAGCTCATGATTCCCAGTATTGCGTGACTGTCCATCAGTTTGTCATCTGATGTGATTTTCCTGTGTGTTGTAAATCCTACCTCTATGATGTCAATAAGGCATGATTAGCGGCTGTTATGTTAATGAGACAGGTTTCAATCTACAAGATTAGGTTGTGTCTTAAGTCCATCTCTTTTGAGATACAAAAGAGAGAAGCAAGCAGAGAGACAGGGGGACCCCATACCACCAAGAAACAAGAACCAGGAGAATAGCGAGTCCTTGACCCAGGGTCCTTGCGCTGACCTGGGATCCTTGACGGGGGAAGACTGATGACAAGGACCTTCCCTCAGAGCCAACAGAGAGAAAAAGGCTTTCCCTGGAGCTGGCACCCTGAATTCAGACTTCTAGCATCCTAGACCATGAGAGAATTTCTCTTTGTTAAAGCCATCCCCTCGTGGTATTTGTTATAGCAACACTGGGTGACTAATACAGGACTTCATCAAAGTGAAAAACTTTTGTGCATCAAGGGGCGTTATCAAGAAAGTGAAAATACAACCTACAGAACTGGAGAAAATATTTGGAAACCATGTATCAGATACAGGTTTAATATCCAGAATATATAAAGAACTCCTACAACTCAAGAAAAAAAAAACCCAAAGGACTTGAATAGACATTTCTCCAAAGATATACAAATGGCCAATAAGCACATGAAAAAATGCTCAAGGTCATTAGTCATTAGGGAAATGCAAATTAAAACCACAGTGAGCAATGAAATACCACTTCTCACCCACTAGGATACTAGGATGGCTATCACCAAAAAAGGAAGGAAAAAAAAAGTGTTATTGAGTTATGTTGAGAAATTGAAACACTCATCCATTGCTGTGGGAACGTAAAATGGTTTATTCTTTATGGAAAACAGTTTGGCAGTTCCTCAGAAAGTTAAACATAGAATTACCATACGGCTCAGCAATTCCACTCCTAGGTGTATAACCAAAGAAGCAAAAGCAGGGACTCAAACACATACTTGTACACCAATGTTCACTACAGCATTATTCACAACAGCCAAAAGGTGGAAACAACCCTCGTACCCAACAGATGAATAGATAAAATGTGGCATATACATACAATGGATTATTCAACCATAAAGAAAAATGAAGTTCTGATACATGCCACAACATAGATGAACCTTGAAAACATGGTACGTGAAAGTAGCCAGACACCAAAAGACAAATATTGTTATGATCCCACTTATATGAAATATCTAGAAATGCACAGAGACAAAAGTAAATTAGTAGTTACCAGTGGCTGGGGGGAATGAAGAGTTATTACTTAAAATAATACTAATAATGATAGTTAACTATACACACAGAGAAATAAAAACGAATGCAGAGAAATCTTTTAGGATTCAAAGATGCCCTCGTTTGGAGTAACACATAGCCAAAGTAAGTATAAACACAATCCAAAACCAAACCCGTAGCCATTGAATTAATTTTGACTCACAGTGACCCTATAGGACAGGGTAGAACTGCCCCACAGGGTTTCCAAGGCTATAATCTTTACGGAAGCAGACTGCCACATCTTTCTTCCGTGGAGCAGCTGGTGGCTTCAAACTGCCAACCTTTCAGTTAGCAGCCTAGCACCCTTACCACCAGGGATCCTTAAAGTAAGTATAAAAAACCCTAAAAGGGAACAGAAGCTGCATTTCTCTAAGAGCAAACTTGACTGGCATTTAAACAAGAATTCCAGTTCAGATTGGTGGAGGAAGCACTCAATAAATCTGGGCAAGTATGTGTTTTATTGTTATAAAGTAATTAAGTTACTGAACATGCTGTCTCCTTAAATTGAGAGGTGCATATTTTGTCTCTGGAGAAATGTCAGCAGAGGACAGGATTTACTGTGCTGTTAAAAGTGAAGGAAAAATCATTACTGTGGAAGTGAAGGGTTAGAGGTAGGAAATGAAGTGGTTTCACTCTCAAGGAATGGTGCATGGCTCCAGGGCAAACTGACTGCTGCTCTACCTCTGTTATCTGCCCTCACTGTGATCCTCCAAAACAGCAAAGCAGCATCGGTTTGTAGTACTGCTCCCATTAACCATTCTTCCCATGCAACACTGTTCATGTGAAGCTCTTCTCTCAGTGACTTGAACTATGATTTATGTGAGTTTTCCATGTACCATGCCTAAGTATTTTCCTCTTTCCTATCAATTTGGCTCTGAGTATCTCTTTAGCAAGGCAGCCCAATGGGAGAAACACAGAATCCTAAATACTACCATCTTCAGTGCCTTCTGTCTGCTAGGGGGCAGGGAAGGGGAGCCAGTCCCAATTTCAGAATTTTGGGTTTGGTCATGCAAATACCACATAAACAGAACCTTGCTTTAGGGTCTTGAGTGTAGTCTCCAAAGTTTGAACCCTAAGATTCGCTCCCCTCTGGTGGCACCTCCTAAAACGCACAGTCCTGCTGCTACTCCATCCAACACAGCTAAAAAGAATAGATTAATCTGCAATTTGATTCGAAGCCAATGATCCAGAAGTCTGGATTATTTAAGATTGTTTTCAGGCTCTCTTATTTTGTTTTTAACATGCTTTTTGACCAGGGAAAAAAGGGGCATTCAAATAAATTTCTTTGTAATTTAAGATTCGATCAAAGAAATGGTGAGTGAGAGACCGAAACCAACAGCCACATGATTTAGGATAATCACCTATCTCTTAAAGACATACACAGACGCATATGCAAAGAAATGTGTATGTGTGTCTGTGTGTAATGGAGATCGAAACTGACAGAAAAATCCTCCTTCCATTATAAAATGGATAAAATATCACTAAATTTTTGTTGTAATATAGAGTCAAACTAAAAAAGAACAGGAAATGCCCAGTGCCATCAAGGAACAAAGAAATGGAAGTCTGAAATATAAGCCTTAGGGACAGGGAGTTGCGGACAGGAAACATGGCTTTGGGTCCATGCAAGAGAGAGGACCTAGAACAGAGACTGCTGCGTAAGGCATAGACCCTCAAAGTGCTCCTCGAATCCTCATACACCGCCAGAACACGGCCTGCCAGCCCAAACACAAACTTCGGTTAGGGCTTTGGGGCAGCATGTTGAAGTTACCTGGGAAAAACAAACACCCACACACAAGTGTTGTAGTAGATTTACACTACAAGACGAGGAGGAAAAAAAAAAAATTGGTCCCAAACCCTGGCATCACTGAGGCCCTTGCACAAGCAAGCCTCAAAGTACTCTGTAGCAGCACCTGCAAAACCCTGGGACACAGCCCATGCACAGAACAAACAACCCTTGCTAAAGATGAGTTCATGTGCCTGAAAACCCCATGAGGAAGCAAACCACCATTAGGGAGAGTCAGCAGATGTAGCTGATAAAAAAATTAGCACTCCAAGAACTGAAGAAAATAGAATAAAGACTATAAAATAAATGACTAAAATAATTTTAAAAGAATAGAAACTATAAAGTATGAAAAAAGAATAGTCAAATTCGAAAAGCAAAGTCAAAGCCAACTTCAAAAATGAGTAGTCAGTGAAATTAGAAATGAGATAAACAACACATTACACAGGGCTGAGAACAAAATTAGCGAGATAAATACAAAGAAGTTACAGAGAAATAAGTATTTTTAAAAAATCTGAAAAGAAGATAGGCTCAATATAGGCCTAAAAGAAATCCCAGAAGGGAAGAACAGAGAACAGGGGTGGGATAAGATCCAACAAAGTGAGAACGTCCAGAGTCGTCTTAGTGAAGAACAGTAAGAGCTGGACAAGAGGAACAAATATACATCCATATCTAAACATAGAAGTGGAACCCCAATATCAAAGACAAAACAATGAACTCATTGGGGGAAAATGAATTCATACTTGTTATAAATACTCAAATAATTCAGAAGTATATTTGGTATAGCCATGCCTTCCATTGATGCAGATACACTAATACACAGAGATAACTATTAGATTTCAGAATGAGCAGCAAATGCTACCCAGTGGTCTCTGACACTCTAAATGTCCTGTGGTAAAGGGCTTAGCTCAATTTCAGAAAACCTTAACTTATTCTGAAATCTGTCAGCTTAAACAGGCTCAACAATCTACGGCCACACATCCAGGGCCACCAAACTATTTATGTAAAGTGAGCCCCAGATTTTTACTCTAAATTTCACCAGACTATATACTACTCTACTGTACTGCTCCTGTCAATTTTTCTCAACGCCAATTAAAAGTGTTGATTTTTACTACTCAGTTCATCCAGCAATAAAGTACCCAGAATTTATTTTGATGACAAGAACCCCATCTTGTGGCAAAATGTTTCACAACCAAGTTTGGCCATACACTGCATTGCCATCCTCATTCTGAAGATAAATCCTTGTTGAGAAGTTATCATTTTATCTGCTTCACCAGACAGAATTTCTAACCCAGCATTTATCTTGTGTCTGCAATGGCACCAGACTATGCAGTAAATCCGTGGAGCACAGTAATTCTGGGGCTTTGTGAGTTATTTTCAAGTGAAAGCTAGAAGTCTTTGTGCAGCTTACCGCAGGAATATTTTAAGAGAAAAGCAAACACTGACTCGGGGTTAGCTTCTGAAATGTTATCATCTGTTCATCCTAGGTATGGTCCAGATATCTACTTTCTGCAAGATGAACTCACTTTAACTAAAACATTCACAAGACAAAAACTCCCCAAGACCCACAACAAATGACACCTAGTTATTACCATACATAACAAAGCTACCCCACACCTGTATTTCATTTTATTCAAAAGGTAATCCTCTAAAAGTCAGCTTTTAATCAATCTTTCCCTACCCCCTATTTTAAAAGACAGCAAGACTAGATTCTAGAATAAATATTGTCTTCTGTTTCACCTTTAAAAGGAATGTCCTTCCGCACTGTCTTCTCCCACTATCCCTAGGTTCCCATTTTGCTTTCCAACTTAAAAAGATTTTGAAAAGTCTTATCGCTAATGAGCTAAAAAATGTTACGTACAGAGCACAATGCATGTGGCTCAATGAATATTAGCTATTATTATTGTTTTTATTGTTATTACCATTATTCTTAATGACAATAGAGCACTGAAAAGAATAAGAGATCCCAAAAATTGTTTATTTGTTCATTTATCTTGCTCATTGTCAAAGCCTTGAAGAAAAACCCCGTTCAAACAGGAAGCCAAATTATTTATCAAAAGCCAAACTGAAATAATATTTTTCTCCCCTCAAAACCCCTGTTCTTTTTAAAAAGGGTGCAAAAAGACAGTAGGTTAATATTAAAACAGCTTTTTATTTGTTAATGTCACATGCGAAATAAGCAAGTTATACTATCTTAAAAAACACAACTAATGCATTTTAACAGAGAAGCCCTTCCCTCCTCCCCTTACAGCCCTCCCCCTCTGTTCCCCTCATGAATTAAGAATCTAAGAGAAGTAACCATAAAACAAAGTTTTGCGGAATCCTTCATCCAGAGTGCTTACATGATGATTAGGTTAATATTGCCTTCTTACAAAATTTCTCTTTTCTATTTAAAAAAAATTTTGTAACCTTGATTGCTTATTATAAAAATTTCAGTACAAAAGTTCAATATATTGAAAACTGCTTTCCCATCCCTCACAGCACCGTTATATATAGCAGAGAATAATCAAGAGCAGATTGCTAATCTAGATGGAGCAATCTTCAAATTAACCCAGACACACAGTGGTTTATTCCCACCCTCCCCCACCCCATAAGAACTTAAAAAAACACACATACAAAAAATGTAAAAAATTGGAGGGACCCTTTCCAAACAACAGTACACAGTTAGTTCAGTGTCAATAATTCACATCTTGCAACAAAGTGTATGGATATTTCTTTTACAAAACTTTCAGTGTCAAAAAGGAAATTAAGGCCATCAGATTCGCAGCTTAAAAATTCACATAAAGGAAATATAAAAATACTCTGTGCTTCGAGAAGGCTCTGCACTGTATGTAGGTAAGGATTACCATACTTCTTTATTTTGAGGAAGACAGTTGACTTGAGAAGTTTACATAATTGCACAGCTTCTGTTGGATGCTCTTGGGGTTCCCTGATGAGGAAAACAGAAAGAAAAGTTAGTGCTAAGAAAACGGATCACAGTATTTTAAAGTAAGACGATACGTTTTAAAATAAGGGAGACTACAAATCCATACCACCCGTTTCAAATGGACCCTTAACGTTTCGTCTCACTTATCCTTTTTAACCTTTTCTGATGGGCTTCTTCCCTAGAATACTGCAACAAATTCCAGAACCACGATTCTCCACTCTGGCTGCACATTCAGCGCCTGACTTGCTTAAGAAGAAATTCTGATCTAGGTCTCTAGATCAATTAAGTGAAAATCACTCATTTAACTGGAGAAGGGCATCTGAGTGTGTGTGTATGTATCCCTAAGTAATTCTAATACGCAGTTCAAAGCTTAAAACCACTGTTCAATAGACTCCATTTACAAAACAGGAAACAGGAGATCAGTGGACTCTGTTCTAAACAACCCCATCAGAGAGGGCAGTTTGCTAGATCCTGACCGTCCACATCCCAAGGCATTTTGCATTGGATTTATCCTTGAATGTGAAGTCAAAAGGGCCCCTGTGTTCATTTCTTTTTATCACCCATTAATTCCTTAAAAGCTCACAATATGACTTGTGACTCACTACTCAGCTAGACTGAAACTGGTCTCTTGATGGTCACCAAAGAAACTTCCTTATCAACTTGCAAGGCCTATTTTTGGCCTTTATCCTTAACTCTCTGAAGCATCTGACACTGCTGACTAGCCCTCAGCCTCAAAATCCTCTTCTCTGCTGGTAGCAAAAACCATCTCCTACTCACTCGTCTTGAAGGTCTTATCTACAGAGTTCTTCCAACTGTTCCTCCTCCCCCTTTACCCACTAGCTGTGGATATTCATGGTCAGTCTTTGGTCTTTGGTTTCTCTTTCTCCCCAAATACTACTCTACTTATTCTCAGAGCTTCCACCATCACCTCTTTATGGCTCTGAATCTGAATTCCATGCCTTCTCTTCTCAGTTTACCAACATACAAATTTCCAACAGTTTAGCAGACATCTATATTCTGGCATCCTATTATCACATCAAAAGTCACTGATTTATAATTTATCATTTTCACTCTCAAAACTGATCTGCCCTTCCATCTTCCGGACCTTGGTATCATTATTTTCCCTGACCACAAAAACCTCACTCATCTTTCCCTTCTCTTTTTTTCTTCTCCTGCCCTCACGTTCAGTCACTAAGCCTTATTACTACATTTATACACTTCCCTCAGTGTGTCTGCAGTCTCCCTTCTTGAGTCAATCCCTCTCTGATTCAGCTTGCCCAGTGATATTCTAAAATGTGGCTCTCAATTTCAAAACTATGTGCGTTCAAGACTGGACAAGTATCATTTCCCAGAATCTTCTCAATGACTCCGGGAATCTCATGCTCTAAGCCACTTGTGTGGCATCCTGACATATCTTTTATATTGTTATTTTAGTTCTAGTCATTATGATGTTTCTCATCAAGGGCAGAAAATAGATCTTATGCTTTTTTCTTGTTGACACCAAGTCTAAAGTATCTGTTCTTAAATATTCCTCCAAAATGTATAAGGCGGCATGCAGACCACCACAAATTCAGTCTACCTCACATAAACAACCTTGAGTGGTTCTCAATATTGGGGGATAAATACAGAAGACAATGTTTACTTGGTATAGCACTCGAGCTAATGGAGCAAAATGAACTTAGAAATCTGGAGACAAGGAGATAAAGCGTTATAAGGATAAGGGTAGGGACTCTGATTAATGATCAGACTTGAACAGTTTGACAATATAAATGGAAGGCTCATTAGTTATTAATAATTCTAATTTAATTACAACCAAATTCTAAGTTTCTTTATTTCAAGGGCTCTTTATTTCAAAAGCCCCAGCATCAGCTAAAATCTGTCTTGCAATTAGATAATGATTAGAAACTTAATGTAGCAAAAAAATAATTTCTCATTGAAGTTGAATATATTACTCTTTATTTTAAGTTTATATGCTTTAATTTATTCATCTCCAAGCTTTTAATCACAAAAGCCTCCAGTAAATAACTTTTGAGCATGTATTCCAATCCATATATACTTATTTATAAGTGATATACATGTCTTACTATAATAATGTATTATGTATATTACAAAACGAAAGGCAAGATTGAAATTTGATACAATGAGACAAGGGGAGGGGAGAAAAAAAACTGCTAACATTTTCTTCCAGTAGCCTAAAGTACTACTGGGCACATCCCCTTGGAGGTACAAACCCCACTTCGTAGATCATTGCTCTGATTCGTCAATAAGACAAAAACATCCCTACTATTGGTTTCAGTTTTCATGTAATTCTGTTAATAAAATTTAAAACAAATATATTAAGGTAAAGTAATAACCTGCTGGTGAAAAAGTTCTTCCTCTACAACAGCTTCAGGAGCTTCTTCCTCCTCTTCTTCCTCTTCGGGTATGGTTGTTTTAAAGACTGTACTTCTTTGAGCAACCTCCTAAAAACAATGGCAGTTTGATTTTAAGTTAAAACCATACTTAAAATCACAAAGGCTGCAGAGGAGGGGGACCTTTTCTTTGCATTCCAACATCAAGGATTATCTTTTTTTTAAAAAAAAGAAAGTGTTCCATCAGTAGATTTAGCTACTGAACAGGATTTTTTGCATACTTAGTCACGGTTCTTAGATCTTCAATATTCCCTGCAGGGGAGCTACTGGTATCCAATATGAAATACCTGCTGAGACGTTTCCACTGCTTTGTACCCCATTCTGTTACTAAGAATTCTGCGAATCATTTGGCACACTGAATTCTTTGTAACACTCAACATGAATTTAGCTTAAAGATCTCAGCACCTAGCAAAGAGAATATGCTAAATAAATGCTGAATAAAAAGAAGCTGGAAATTAACTGCTGTGCTCTCAGGTACCACAGTGGCAACAGGAGCACTTGAAGAGTGAGATGAAAAGGGCAACTGGCTCAACCTTGAATGAAACGGAATCAAGACGGATGAGCGCTGTTTACTAATAACACTCCAGTGAGGTTCCGACGTATTCCGTACAGAAATAGGTCTCTCATCATTCACCGGAGGTAGGGCAGAAAGGAATCATTTCCATTTTCTACTAAAAGGCTCAAATACAGATTACTTCCCTGTAGAGAATGCTGAGGTGGCACAAATGGCAACAGTGTTTTTGTTTATAAACACAAAGCTAATGTGATGATGCGGCCGCAAGTAAATGAGCTTGTCCTAGACAGCGCCGCGGAGCATCTCATTTGATTCTGTACCACGTCTTAAGGTCGCTTAAGAAAGATAACTCCACGGAGGAAAATGGTGAAAATTACTTCAGTAAAAGCTTAATCTGAAATGTAACGCTGGCCAGCTAGTTTAAAATGGTAGAGGAAGAAAACAAAAAATCAGTGTCACAGAAATAAGCCTTCAATTTTAAATATGTCCAAGCATGTATTTTTGTAAATGAAGTATTTTGTGGGGATTTTTGATTATTGTTGCAGGGCCAAGGAAAATGGCCACTCTGAATCCCTCAATTAGCCTGAAACTTCAACTCTGTGAGATCAGTCTGTGTTTTCAAGCTCAAACAGCCATTTCACAAATGTAGGTCTGTTTTACCTGAATTAGTTAAAAAAAAAAAAAAAAAAAGCCTGTGATTCTTGGAATCAATTACAGTTTTTGAGCCAAAAAATCGACTGGGGGACGGCAGCACGCAAAATGCAAAAAATATTCTCAAAAAGCTGTGAGAGTACCCTTTCCTCAACTCAACTTAAAGAGTCCATGAAAAATCTTCTGTTACAGAAATCTCACGTTCCAGCTTAGGAGCTCATGGCAGATGTGTACACCAGCTATGCAAACACTGGCTCCTAGAGTGCGTGGTGTAGCTTAAGACTATTAGCCTCACATGAGAAGCTCAGAAAACAGCAACTTGCCGAACTTCATTAATTATAAATTACTTTAATATAACTTTATGTAAGCCTACTGTTAAGTACTTTTTATTTGTAAACATTTAAAAACCAATTAACTTAATGCAGAAAGCCTCTATGGAAAATAAGCGAACAAAATAATGTCTGAAAATCTAGACAGAAAAATAACAAATCTATTTAGAACCAAAAGATAATGGGAAGTTTAGATGCAGGAAACTGTTATTAATCAAGGTGCTAAAACATAAACGTCTTTATCCAAAAAATCCTCTCAGTAAGGTTTTTTTTTGCCCCCTTCCAGTTGACGTCAAGTCAACTCCGACTCACGGTGACCCCACGTGTGTCAGAGCCGAACTGTGTTCCATACAGCTTTCAGTGGCTGATTTTTGGGAAGTGGCTCACCAGACCTTTCTTCTGAGGTTCCTCCGGGGTGGACTCAAGCCTCCAACTTTTCAGTTAGAAGTGAGCGTGTTAACTGTATGCACCACCCAGGGACTCCCTCAGTAAAGTACCCAAGCCTAATCAAATGCTCTAAAAGGCACACATAATGATCTTATACTCTCTATATAAAACACATTATTGGCTTGCCCAGTTCCATGTCTTGGGCACATAAAGTATATTATTCAGCAGTGCACTGTAGCCAACTAGGACCAGCTGACTGTGCTCATCTCTTCACAGCTGTGTTCAGTCACATCGTGCTGGTCAGCCTGCAATCTCCACGGTGGGAGTATGTGCACCTCAGAACTCAGCAAATGCTCCCAGTCAGGGCTCTTGCTGTTGCAGCAGCCAGTTGTTAAGCTATTATATCTCTCTGTATGTAAGCATTTGCATAAACACAAGTTTCAGTTATGTCTATATTCTGGACGGTGCAAAGAAACTGCTTTATTTTATTTCCCTCATAGAAAAACATCTCATTTTACTGCGGTGACATTTGCTGTTTTAACATCCAGCACCACTTCTCTCGTTTCTAGGTAAGAGCCCCTAGTTTTATCTGGGTACCCGTCTCTTCTCCCCTGGAGCACACATGTGTCACAAGAAGCCAAGTGAGGCCTGACTGGTGGGGGAGTGGGGAGGCGGGGAGAGTTCAAGCTCTAACTCTATCCTCCTGACTCTAGGAGCTGGTTTGGGATGAGCATGTGACCCAAGCTGGTACAATAAAAAGAGGCTTCGGATAAGGACTCCTTGGGGGAAGATGCTCTTTCCCACAAGAAATGAGCCTGGATAGATGTACTTCCAGGAGGGCCTGCAGCCATGCTGTGTCCATGAGGGAAGACAACCTGGGAGGTAGAGACAAGAGACAGGTCCTTGGTGACACTGTGAGTCCAGCATCTCTGGGGATTTTTGGTTATGAGAGCCCATTAATTCCCATCATTTTTAAGCTAGCTTAATTGAATTTTCAGACTTTTCTAATATCTGAGCAAAAAGAAATAAAATTGAACTGACTTAAGCCAATTACCTACATTCTTATAGAAAAGTTGTCTTTACAGTGGTAAAGACTGTTGCTACTATGGGCTGAGAGCTACAAATAAATATGGTCTTACAGAATTAAAAAAATAAATACCAAAGGTATTTGACAATCACAGAAATAAGTAAGAACTTTATTCATATTTTCCTTATCTCTGACAGGAGTCATTAGTACAGAGCCTAGAAAGCAGAAGTTAATAAAAGTTTGTTAAAAGAATGGACAAATTAACCAAACAATCCCATATTCAATGGCATGAAGTATGAAGGGCAACTTGAGCTTCAGTTAGCTCTACTGAAATGTCATCAGTAATACTGCCCTCACGACATATCCCATGTCATGGTATCTACTTTGTTCACATGTCACAGTATTTTGTGATTTCTCAACATGCTGCTTTCCAAATATCCTCCTCTATTGTTTCTAACTTAGATCACATCTTCACACAGAAAAAAATGTTCTAGATCCTGAAGCTCACAAAAAGCCTATTTAATCTACCACATGCCCTTTAAAACAGTGCTCTTTTAATCTGAGCAAATCACCACTCACGTTTTGAAAAAAACACGTATCTTGCCTATTTCAGACGTCTGATGTCCAACTAGCCTAGCATAAGAGCTTCCCTAACTCCAGCACTTGGGTGACGGCGCCTAAAACAGCTGGGAGGATCCTAAGGTGCTGAAGGCAAGAAGCGAACAAAGGCTTCCGCACAGAGAACAGAAGAAAAAGCCAGCACGCTGAAGTCTGTGAATCACTGAAAGCATTTGTAAGCTAACTGCTATCATAAGAACTTAGCATCCCCAGAACTTAGCATGCCCCAGGTGCACCCCAAAATCTCACACAAACATAGTAAGAGTAAGAGTGAAAAAATAAGATGCTGTTTCACTTTAAATCTCAGTCTCAGATCAAGGATACTCATTCAGTAGAAAATGAATTCATCATGAATAGCAGTCTAAAACACTGGCAGATGTTTGCAGTGAGGTGCAACAGGAAGACGACCAAGTATGGGACTTTTTTATGCAAACACCTCAGACTTGCACAATGAACCCTGTTAACTACTTTATATCGCTTATTACTTTATTTCTCTTATTACTTAAAAAAAGGTCAATATTTAATTTTTAAAAATTTATTCAGCAAATATTTAATTCCCATGTCTCTCACCCCTATCATTTAACTTATTGGTAAGTCCTATCAATTCTATCTCCAAACTATCTCTTCAGTTGGTTCACTTTTCTACGTACAGAACCACCTTAGTCCAAGTTATAAGTCAGCTGCCTTGTCTCAGATTCTGCTTTTGTCCCCGCTACAGTCCACAATGCACACAGCACCAAGGTTTACTTGTTAACCTCACTCATCATATCATGTCACTCTCCTCTTTAAACGCCTTCCAGCAGCCTCCCATTCGCACTCAGAATTAGATCTACACTCCTTGCCAGGACCTACACAATCTGGCCTCTGCTCACCTAGTCAGCCTAACTCCGAAACTGTTCTCTCCTTCTTAGTCTCTATGTTAGCCATACTGGTCTCCTTTCCTTGAAAACACAGAACTCTTTCCAGCCTCAGGACCTCTGCACTTGCTGCCCCTCTACCTGGGAATATTTTCTCTGTTCTCTCAATAGCTGGCTCTTTCTCAGCATTCAAATTTCTACTCAGGTGTCATCTGCTTGGGGAGGCCCTCCCTGATCACCCTGCCTAAAGCAGGTCTCCCTGGTGACTCTGTGACACCGCTGTTTATGTCCTTTGCTGCATTTATTAGAAATTCTCTTGTCCCTTTCTCATTCTTTGGCTAAACCTACTCTCTCTAGAACGTAAGCTCCCTAAGGCCAAGAAATATGTCTACATTCTTAGTATAAAGTGGCTGGCACACAGCAGCTGCTCGGCATTTGCCAAAGAAATGAATAACCCTGCGCTTACAAATATGTTTGGTTAGTCTGTCTACCAGGTTTCCGCCTAACATTCACCTGTGTATCTCCTTTCAGTATCACTGGCTAAAGTACGTATCTGTTTGTGCTGTAAGGTGTGAAGCAGCAAAGCCTGTCAGCCTAGAAGCTGGTTAAAAGGTGAGAACCAGTAAGGACACCAGGACAAGGTACTAGCTGTGGCTTCTTTGCAAGTCAACTTAAAGCTCTTATGGCAAAGAGGGATGAAGAAGCAGCATTATGACTAAAAGGAAAACCATTCTGAACTCACACTACAAGCTCACTTAACATGCTTACTGCAACAGCAACAAAGGAGGAGAACTCTCAAATTCTAAAAAGAGGTTCGCTGATGTTTTATATGGTGTCTGCATAAGGTAATTAAGCTGGGGAAAGATAGGGATTAAACCATGCTTTACTAGCTTCGAAGTAGGCTTTACTTGCTTTATTAGAATGGCGGTATTTCTAAGACTAATATATTGGTGGGTGGAGAACGTGCACGTGTGTGGTATATTTATGTGGCAGAGCGAGGGGGAAGGTTCTTTGACAAGAATGCTAGGACTGACATGTTGAAGACATACACATCAAGCAGATGTACACCTCACAATCTTTGAACTCAGAGTTTCAGGAATGCTCTGAGAGCTAGTAACAAGGTTAATACTATTTATTGAACTGAGCCAGTCCTAGAGACCAGGCACTGTTCCAAGCACGTCCCAAGGATTGTCTCATTTAATCCATAAATATTATTAACTCCATTTTAAGGTGAGAAAACTGAGACCAGAGGTGAAGGAACCTGCCCAAAGTCACGGAGCCAGTATGCAGCGGAGGCAGAACTGAACACAATGATCTGACTTTGGAGCCTATGCTGATACTCAGTGCTCTGTGCATATACTTATACTCATATCTCATTCCAAAAATTTGAAGACAGCTTTGGTTTAATTTACTCAACAGCCTTGGTCTGATTTAAGCAAGCAATTATTTCATATTTCAGTTTGATTTTTGAAAAGAAATCACACTTGCATGATGAACTTTCAGGTGAAATTGACCTTGGAATGGTACTAATAAAATGGCCATACCTCTCCCTGAGAATTTTTCAATATAACCTTCACATCTTCGCCAGTGCCCCAAGAGTTCTGGTTTTTCCAGATGAGGTCGGTGGGAGGACTGGCTGTGACACCAGCATTTGCAGCCCAGATCTGGAAAAAAGAAAGGACATCAGTACACCCAGACCCCAGATTTTTCACAGACCAATGACAGCAGCACGATGATGAGATGTGAACACCTTATAAGACGTTTAGGATGGTCCTAAAAGTCTGAGAATTGTTTCCTAGCTTCAGACTTGCTATTTTAACTAGCTGTGTGTCTAGGAGAAGTCAGAATTCTCAAGGCCTCAGCTTTCCCATCTGATAAAGACGCTGATAACACATGGCTTTGGAGTGAAGCTGCCTACGTTCACATACTAGCTCTTCTATACACAAGCTGATCTTAAGTTACTTCACTTTCCTCATCCACAACATGGGCCAGTAATGGTATGTATACTGCATAGGACTGCTGTGAAGAATAAAAGGTTACCCACATACAGGGGCTGGCTCACTCAATGAATACTAACTCTCATTATTAGCATCCCATTACTCTATGAGTTTCATGGGCCATCCTTCTGAGTTACAGTCTTCTGACCGTCCCATCTCCAACAGTGTCCTCCAGCTGCCTACAGCAGGAATTGAGATGATGACTAACTTCTCTCAAACCTTCTCCAGCACAGTCTACCTGGAACATTCTCATGGAAACTGGTATGTCTCCAGCTAGGGATACTGTCATAATCCTCCAGACTGTCGGAGATGGAGCTCCAAAAAGAATGCAGGAAATGGATAAATCACCCACTGTTCAAGGCAAAATGTAATCGTTATTGATACTTGTTTCCTTTCTCAACAGTAGGAAAATTCTGCCATACTTTTCATGTATTTATTGGCAGAAAGGTATAGTAGAGTGGAGAAAATTTGGGAGTTAGAAGATTTAGGTTTGAATCCTGGACAAAACACTATTATCTCTATGAGCCTCAATTTCCTTACCTGCAGGGATACTACTACCAGCTCTGATCTTTTATAAAGAGCATATGAAAATAGACAGAAAAACATTCTGTAATCCATAAATTGTTATACAAGGCAAAGGACTATGCGATGGAAAAAGGAAGGCTGGAGAGGGCGTAAGCAGGTATATTTTTGAATGGGGAGAAAATTCTATGAATTACTGATTAGGAGAGAGCCCTTATGTTGTTAGATGGACAAGTCTTCTATCAGCATTGCAAACAAAATGGAGCAGGGAGTGGTTACTGGGATGAAAATGAAAAACAGGAACTGAATCTGGGCCAATTTTCAGATTAAGGGGCTATACCACTTGGAATGTTAATGTTTTCCTAATTTCAAGCTATACTTTTCACTAGTCAATATGTCATCACTGTTGGCTTTGTGTTAATAATAATACTCATAAAATGTCAGTAACGTGGCTGCTTAATTTAGCCTAAAATTTTAATATGTTCCAGAGCTGTGCTGTTTAATATGGTAGCCGCTAGTTTCACACAGTTTTTTTGTTTCCCTCACTTTTCTTTTTTATTGTACTTTAGATAAAGGTTTACAGAAAAAAAAGTTTCTCATTTCTCATTAAACAGTTAGTACACATATTGTTTTATAACGCTGGTTAACAACCCCACGACATGTCAAAACTGTCCCTTCTCAACCTTGGGTTCCCTATTACCAGCTTTCCTATCCCCTTCTGCCTTCTAGTCCTTGTCCCTGCACTGTTGTGCCCCATTAGTCTCGTTTTGTTTTATGAGGCTGTCTAATCTTTGGCCGATCAGTGAACCTCGGGAATGACTTCATTACTGAGCTAAAAGGGTGTCTGGGGGCCATACTCTCAGGGTTTCTCCAGTCTCTGTCAGGCAGTAAGTCTGGCGTTTTTTTGTTAGAATTTTGTTCTACATTTTTCTCTAGCCCTGTCCAGGACCCTCTGTTGTGATTCCAGTCAGAGCAGTCAGTGGTGGTAGCCAGGCAGTTGTACTGGACTCAGTCTGGTGGAGGCCATGGTAGTTGTGGTCCATTAGACCTTTGGACTAATCTTTTCCTTGTATCTTGTTTTCTTCATTCTCCCTTGCTCCCAAAGGGGTGAGACCAGTGGAGTATCTTAGATGGCTACTCACAGGCTTTTAAGACCCCAGACACTACTCACCAACGTAGAATGTAGAACATTGTCTTTATAAACTGTGTTATGCCAATTGAGCTAGATGTTCCCTGAGACCTTGGTCCCCACAGCCCTCCACCCAGCAATTTAGTCCCTCCGGGAGTCTGGATGTGTCTATGGAGATTCCATGATCTTTCCTTGTACAAGCTGTGCTGGCTTCCCCAGTATTGTGTACTGTCTTACCTTTCACCAAAGATACCACTTATCTATTGTCTATTTAGTATTTCCACCCATCCCACCCCTCCCTTTTAAGCACTTGAAATGTGGCTAGTCTGAATTTAGATGATCTGTAAGGGTAAAATGCACATCAGATTTCAAAGACTTAGTTCAAAAATAAAAAAAGTGTAAAATATCTAACTAACAATTTTTTATACTGATAGCATGTTGAAACGATAATATTTTTGATACACTGGGCTAAACAAAATACAGTACTAAAATTAATTTCATGTTTCATTTTTACTTTTCAAAAATGTGCCTAATGAGAAAATTTAAAATTATATATGTGATTCACATATTTCTGTTCTAGAGTTTGAAAATGACCTCTGCTATTGTTTTGTACAGTTTTACAGAAAGATCACTTATCACTATCATATTCAGAAGAGCTTATCTATCACATTTAATGCTAACTACTGAAGAAAAAAAATAACGTATTACATCATTTTATATGAGAATGTAGTTCTCCACTAGACCTAAAGAATATACATTTAGTCCCTGAGGAACTATATACCCACTGGAAAAAGAAGATGATTGGCGTAAGGGTTCCACATAAGACAGAGACCATACTCAAACTGAAATCTTCTGAATTAAAATGTCAGGTTTTTTCTACCACATTATACAACTTTCATAAGATACATAATAGGACTGAACAATTTTCTCTCACTATAATAATTACTAAACAGAAGAAAGGATAGTGTAGTTAAGATATTTGTTCCCATTTTTACCCATTATTACAAAATTAACCCACTGCAGCTGAGTCGATTTTGACTCACTGCAACCCTACAGGACAGAATAGAACTGCCCCATAGGGTTTCCACGGCTGTAAATCTTCATGGAAGCAGCCTGCCACATCTCTCTCCCGTGGAGTGGCTGGTGGGTTCACACTGCTCACCTTTTGGTCAGCGGCCAAGCGCTTTAACCACATTACAAAATTAGCATCTGATATTTTCAAAAAGTGGTGTCATACTCTATGAATACATCTTTTGAGAAGTTCTAACCTGGCAGTTTTTCTTTGATCTTATACATTTAAGGTTTGTATCAATCACAAAACTTAGGACATATTTAATATTTTTTTAAAAAAGAATCTAAGAAGAAAGAAGACACACATTATTCTTTAGGAATGAAAACACTGACTTATTTAAAACCTCTACACTCTTTAGGGAAGAAAATTGTGACTTCTTTGAAATCTTTATCAAAGTTAACATATTTCATTATTTGCTAAGTTTACTAAGTAAAAGCAATGGAATCTTTTATTTGCTCAATGAAGCACATTTCTCTAAAAGTGAGCTAATAATATTTAAAACCCACTGCTGTCGAGTCAATTCCGACTCATAGCGACCCTACAGGACAGTGTAGAGCTGCTCTCTAGGGTTTCCTAGGAACAGCTGGTAGAGTCGAAATGCCGACCTTTTGGTTAGCAGCCGTAGCTCTTAACCCCTATTAAAAAAGTGGTATTTCACTGTTGATGGGAATGTAAAATAGTACAAACAACCACTATGAAAATCGATTTGATGCTTCCTTAAAAAGCTAGAAATAGAAGCACCACATGATCCAGCTATCCCGCTCCTTGGAATACATCCTAGAGAAATAAGAGCCGTCACACGAATAGATATATGCACACCCATGTTCACTGCAGCACTGTTCACGATAGCAAAAAGATGGAAACAACCTAGGTACCCATCAACAGATGAATGGATAAACAAGTTATGGTACATTCACACAATGGAATACTACACAACAATAAAGAACCATGATGAATCTGTGAAACATCTTACAACATGAAGGAATCTGGAAGGTATTATGCTGAGTGAACTTAAGTCAGTCGCAAAAGGACAAATATTGTATAAGACCACTATTATAAAAACCCAAGAAAAGATTTAAACACAGAAGACAACATTCTTTGATGGTTAGGAGGGTGGGGAGGGAGGGAGGGAGTGGGTACTCACTAACTAGAAAGTAGACAAGAATTATCTTAGGTGAAGGGAAGGACAGCACACACTACAGGGCAACTCAGCACATCTGGACTAAACCAAAGCTAAGAAATTTCCTGAATACAACCTAATGCGTCAAGGGCCAGAGTAGCAGGGGCGGGGGTGTGGGGACCATGCTTTCAAGGAACATCTAGGTCAACTGGCATAACAAAGTTTTTTTAAGAAAATGTTCTGCATCCCACTTTGGTGAGTGTCGTCTGGGGTCTTAAAAGCTAGTGAGCGGCCATCTAAGATGCATCAATTGGTCCCAACCCACCTGGAGTAAAGGAGAGTAAAGAACACCACGGACGCAATGAAAGTATTAGCCCAAGAGACAGAAAGGGCTGCATAAACCAGAGACTCCATCAGCCTAAGACCAGAAGAACTAGATGGTCTCTGGCTACCACAATGACCACCCTGACAGGGAACACAACAGAGAGTCTCTGACGGAGCAGGAGAAAGGTGGTATGCAGAACTCAAATTCTAGTAAAAAGACCAGACTTAATGGTTTGATTGAGACTGGAGGGACCCTGGAAGACATGGCCCCCAGGCTCTCTGTTATCCCAAAACTAAAACCATTCCTGAAGCCAACTCTTCAGACAAAGATTAGAGTGGACTATGGGACATAAAATGATACTCGTGAAGAGTGTGCTTCTTAGCTCAAGTAGATACATGAGATTAAATGAGCAGCTCTCGTCCAGAGGCGAGATAGAGAGGGTCAGGAGCTGGTTGAATGGACATGGGAAATCTGGGGTAGAGAGGAGGAGTGTGCTGTCATAGTATAGGGAGAGCAAGTAGGGTCACAAAACAATCTATGTATAAATTTTTGTATGAGAGACTAACTTGAACTGTAAACTTCCACTTAAGCACAACAATAAAAAGAAAAAAAGTGGTATTTCAGAACACGCCAATAGAGTCAGAATTCCATACAGCCCATTTTTCTCTAAATACCATACAAAAACCACATCCTCTGCTAAAATATTATTAAAATAATAATATTAAAATACTATTTTTGCTAAAATATTATGTTTCACAGCACTGCTTCTTTACAGGGTGCCTATCACCCAAGGGCTTTTGTTCATAACAGGCCCAGACCTCAGCCCCAGAAATGGTGATTCACCAAGTTCAGGCTGGACCTGAACACTGAGATACGCCCCGGATGATTCTGATGCTAACCCAAGGTTGAAAGCTGCTGTTTTAAGGCATGCACTAGTATTGATGGATTATATCCCTTATCTTTCTGCCAAGTATTATCTCCTGAATTAGAATGGGCTATAAGTATCAGTCAACAGATAGCTATTTTATATCTACTTGAAGAGACAAAATAAAAAGAAATCTTTTTTTTTTTAAAGTCAGTTTTAATAGTCAATTACCACGCTCAATAAAATAGAACTTTGTTTCAATTTTTAATAGCACTTGTAATGCCCTAACAATGTCAAAGACATTTTAATGCCCATTTCTAAAATGCTTCTCTTTAAGACAAAAAATTTTTTTGAATTACTTTATCTGACAATTAAGGTAAATTAAGTGATGACTAAATTCACTTACTGTAACACTCTGGCCTGCCTTCAGCACATATCTTGAGGTATATTTGTAAGTGACCGATGTGTCTCCTATTTTTCTGATCATCTCCCAGCCTCCCATTGGTTGATCCTATTCACAGAACAAAATAAAACAAGGTCACTTCAAATATACAGTTTATAGGATAATCAAATACATGAATCCACACAGACAGTTAAACTGAGATGGCTTTATGTTTTTATTTCCATGATTCACATCTTCCTATTATAAAAAGAAAATATGATTTTGTCGTTCAGCAAACAGTAACTTCGACAATTCTGCAGTTAATTATTAAGGCACTTAATTTTAAAAAGAACAAAACTGGAAGAAAGGATGAGAACCAAATTAAATGGTCATATTCACTGCTAGATAAGGTGGGTCTGTTAAATTTACAACACATCTAGTTGTCATAATCCTAATTAAAAACATCTAATATTTTAGGTTACTTTAAGCTTTTAAAATATAGACACATAAGTTTAGAAACAGAAGGAAGAAAATTTGTTCTTTTTCTTCTGCATTTGTACCACATCTGCACAAATTTAGCTCTCTTAAAGCGTAACAGGCTCAAACAGGGTCAATGACGCAATGAGCCAGTCCTAGGTGATAACTATCAACTCTGGCCCAAAAACTACCCAGAGCTCTACCCGGCATTTGAGCCGGATATTAAAGCACGTAACTACACTAATTTATATCCAACTCTAATCCAAAGGCAGGGCTCTGGTGGCACAGTGATTAAGAGTTTGGCTGCTAACCAAAAAAAAAGGCGGCTGTTCGATTCTAGCAGCCGCTCCTCGGAAACCCTATGGGGCAGTTCTCCTCTGTCCCATAGGGTCGCTATGAATCGGAATCAACTCGACAGGAATGAGTTAATCCAAAGACAAGAATAAACCAGGTTGAGAGCCAGTTCCAGAATAGTTCAATACAGGGCTGCTATGCCTTTTGAAAAATAACACACAATGGGGCAGTAGGGGCTCCTGTTCCTTAGCTTTTATAGTTGTGACTAAGAGAGGCTTGAAAACCTATCCTATTCAGAACAAACTGCTAGTGTTTCTTTGTCCATCCTAAGTGTTTATTCTTCCACATGCAAGATAGTTTTAATGACTCTCAGGTGAGAAAAGGAATGACTTTCACAAATGTTGGGCAGACCCTGGACATATGCTTCAGAAAGTGACTTTCCCTCCACTGCAAGCCCAGACCTAGCCTTCCTCTTACATCTTCACACATCCTTTCCCAGCCCCAACCCCATGGTGCCTAACCAGGGAGGACCTTCCATACTGAGCTCCTGAGAACCATGGCTTCAAACTTCAGAATTCCCTGCTATGAATATTTTAAACAAATTATTTCAAGATAGGGCTTCATATTCTCCTTGATATTAAGTTAAATCATTAGCATTCATTCATTCATCCCTCTATTTATAGAGAAAAATACTCCCCATACCTATCTGAGTCTGGGCTCATGTTTCCTTCCGTTCATAGAAAGCATATTACAATGTGGTTGTGAAAGAACATCCACCATTTTCACCCAATCACTCCAACTTTTTCACATGTATGGCTTTGGCAGAGAGTTAATACTAATTCATCCTTGGAAAGGCCACTAAAGCCTAAGGAGTTATTAAAATTGCAAGACAACCTATCAGTCTACAAAGGCTTGCTGGAAATAAAGGGATATATATTTTTTTACCTGTTCAGAAGTGTTCTTCAAGCGGATAAATTTCCCATCAACATCTATCTCTTCAATGCAAATACTGCCAGTGGCTGAGGCGGAATGAGAGATGCTAACACTACTGCTTGCTTCAGATTCTTCCACATCGACTCTCTTCCGCTTTCCTCTAGTTGTACGAACACTGCGACTTGAGGAGGCTCGTGATACTGTCACACGAGAAGAAGGGCTTGGAGAGAGCTTCAATCTATATGAGAAAATTGAAACATTTAGTTTATGAAACACATACGCCCTTCCTACCTTAAAAAAAAAAAAAAAGATTAACAAGTTGTACATGCGTTTTTTAAGTAAAATATTACTGAGAATCTGCTAGACAAAGCTGATTAATAATAATAATTACTAATTCTTATCTTAACTAAGCTAAACTTATTTATGCTAGGATGCCCACCATGAATTTTCTTTTAGAAAATACAATAATTTGCATGTTTTCCCTAAGAACAGAAGTAGTAACCATAATGCAAGAACTCTGAAAAACATGGTGGAAAATAATCATCCCAACTACCACCACCCTACCACAACCACTGTTATAGTGTGCTTTTTTCTGTTTTCATACCTGTATTTTCTTTTTACAAAATAACAATCATGGTGTATGTAATATTGAAATTAATTGGCTTTTTTATTCTAAATTAGCCACTTTCCCTTTGGACCTTTTTCTGAGAATTGGGTTAGAAGGCTTTATACATTAACCAGATTTGAAAAAAAAGTATAAATACAAAGTTTCTTTCAACCAAATCTGGTATTTTACCAAAACATTAAAAATCTCAAAGAAGACATCATCCAGACACAGCCCAACATTTAAAATAATAGTAATAATAAAATAAGACTGCTTGAGCAACATTTTCTGTTGTTGGGATAGAAATACGGTTTATTACTACCTCTACACCAAGGTTTTAAAAGAAATGACAAACAAAATACTAAAAATTGCCTAAGTGTTTTTAAAAGAAACCTACTTACATTTCTCTAAATAAAAGGGTAGTGGGTTAACAGCAGACTATAAGGTAGGGTGACAGTAAGTTCCTTACCGCTCTTCTTCGCCTTCCAGGAGTTTCCTGTAAGCACTGATTTCCATGTCCAGAGCTAACTTTACATCAAGAAGTTGTTCATAATCATTCAGCTGTTGCTGCATCTGATCCCTTATTTCTGCCATCTCTCTCTCTTTGTCAGACAGCATGCGACGAGAGCTGTCTCTCTCTTTAGCAAGCAAGTCTTCCAATTCTTGAATCCTTTCCAAACATGCTCTAGACTTCAGATTCAAGGAAACACATTAGTACTTTGTAGAATCATTCCAACGTTAGTACAAGGCAGCTATTTTAAACCACTGACATGACTGGAAAACAAACAGAACCCTATGGAATCTCGAACTCAATAGAATTCAAGAGATTTGTGGTTTTAAGGAAATAAAACCCAAAACTCCTCAAATGCAAAACACAGCACCCAGGAAAGTTTTGGCTTATAAAAGATTAAAAAAAAAAAACAAAGAAAGAAAGAAATATTCTCCAAATGTAAATGTTACAAATGCATATATAATTTTTCTGTGTCTGGCCAAATAAATCACTAAGCTGTGATTCTGGGGAAGTCAACTCTGGCTCCTCTAGAAGGCTCCTACTTCAAAACTACAAATTAAAGAACTAAAAAAATATAGAAACGCATTGACAAGAGAAACCTAAGGGTAGACAGTAGTATGCTTTTGAGAATTGCTGAGGAATATTCAGAAACCAAAGAAAAGGGATTCTGGTTTTTATGTGGAGGGGACTGTACAGTGTCTTTTTGTGATAGCTGTATTATCTCAATACCCAAGCCTATTGATCAGTACACAAACGGTACACAATACAGTGTGGTTTGTAAAACATTGTTTTAAATATAGAAATTTTACATTTAGTATAAAAGAATGAGAAATCATATATCTTACACCGGAAAATTCATCTTAGAAAACTTTGTGGCTCACTAGGTAATTATTCTTCTGAGTTTCCCCTGACAAAATTCATCTCAGTAGCCTCAGAAAATGACAAGTGTAATCAACTCAAAAAGACTGATGGACAGCTTAGGCCCTCAGAATCCCAAGTAGCTGCATCAGAGAAGGAGAAAAAGGGCACCTACTGAGCAAAAATTAAATCTGGAAGGCTAGAGATAAAAAGGACCTGTACGCTGTACATAAATCCTGCACTTTTGTTGGTAAGTTTATTTCTCATAGGGATACAGGTTAAACAACTGATACTGCTTTACACATATACTGAGGTTGAACAAATAAGTAAATGGATGTTGAAAACTAGGCTTCTTAGTCTCAGAAAGAAAAGTTACAGATAAGCAAAAAAGGAAGGACAGAATGAACCCAGACCTACTGGATTAGAGTCAAAGACATCTGTATGAACTCATGTTTAGCTTAATATAAATGATATGGCTAGATATAGAAACAATTATAAGCATGTGTATATAAATGTGTTAGCGTACATATGCGTATTAACTAGCTCTGAAAGGGCCTAAAAGCAATGACATCCCAGTAGCAACGAGCATACTCAGTGCCTAAATCTTAATTTCTAAATACCACTCTCCAATAAAAAGAATCCAGGCTCCTTTGAAGAAATAGATGATGCTAGGGCTAGGGCAGGGAAAACAGGTACAAGATGAGCCTAGAGCATCTTATAATACCGGGAAATAAGGAAGTGCTCAAAAAACAAAACATAACCCCAGTCTAACCATGAGGAAAACACCAGACAAACTCAGATTGGGGGACATTCAACAGGATACCAGGCTAGTCCTCCTCAAGACTGCCAAGGTCACAAAAAAAACAAGGAAAGACTAAGAAACTGTCACAGATAGAGGAGCCTGGGCAGACATGTGGTACTCTGGAACAGAAAGAGGGTATTAATAGAAAAACTGGTGAAATCCAAATAGTCTAGAGTCTAGTCAACAGTAATGTACCAATGTCAGTTTCTTAGTTTCGACAACTGTACCAGGGTAACACAAGAGGTTAGAGCAAAGGCGGAAATGGGCTGAGGGGTAGACAGGAACTGTCTGTGCTATCTTTACAACTTTTCTGTAAATCTGAAATTATTTTAAAATAAAAAGGTTATTTTAAAAAAATCAAGCAATTAAAATTCAGAGTAGTATTTGACATTCTATACCAGAAGGAAGCCACTTTTCTTAAAAGTGATACTAAAATAGTCCCTGGCCTCAGAGAACTTGTACGTAACTGCATTTGCAAAAATAACATGCTAAAAACTGAGAAATCCGTTTTTTCCCTTCATGCTTCTTATACTTTTTTTTTCTGAGGGAGGGAGAGAGAGAGGGAGGAAAGAAAGAAGCAAACAAACAACATAAGTTCAAAATGCCTCCTTTTTGATCTCTCCACCTTATTTCACATGTGGGCCGTGGAAGACAGAATGAGCAAGCAGGTGGAATCTAAAGGAGAGTTAATGAAAGACATAAATACCCCAGATTCAGAGATAACCTCTGAGCCTAGATTTATAAACCCCAAAATGTCTCCATTTCTCTGACTTTGATGCTGTATAGTTCTGTAACAGAGAAAAATCAAAATCTAGGTATAAAAATGTTTTAAAGTTACTCTGAATCGTTTTCTATTTTACACAGAAATTGGTTACAAAGCTACCTGTTGTGTAATGAAATATAAAGAACACAAGGTTAGAAGTTAGATCTAGTTCTTATTCCTGACCCTGCCATTAACATAGCTATGAGACCTTTGGCAAGCTGTACCTAAAACAGTTTCTTTGTTTGGAAAATGAGATCTAACTAGATAATCTCTAAGGTCTCACCTTTATCTTGAAATTTTATGAATGACTTCTAATCATTTTGGGTTTTTTAATTTTATTTTTATAGTAGGAAACATAACTGTACCACTTTATTATGGTCTGGCTGTAATAAGAGTCTGAGTATTACTTTAAAAAAATTAGAGGTGTTTGGGAAGTACCACTGCAGACTCTTTCTGCAAGGCAAAACTCAGACCAACCACTTAATTTGGCCAAATAAAAAATTTAGAAATGCTATAAGCAATATATGAAATTCTTAATTCTAAAATGTAATACTGCTACCATCTATATGTAACTTAAAAATATTTTCTAAAGTCACTGTTTTAAAGGCTATGCCAATTCTAAATAAAATTTAAGAAGTACTGCATTGATATGACTCATATAACCAAAAGGAAATTCTTATTGCCTAACAGCAGCATGACGAAACTGATATGACTAAACAATAAATACTACTAAGACACAGAATGGGAAAACATTAAAAGAGATAGCTTCTTTTTTCTGTTTGATGACATTTCTAAGGCTAAAATTTATCAGCTAATGAAAATGCTCATATACTATTTATCGTAAAATCTGTTAGTAATAATGAAGACATGAAGGGATTCTCCTCAGAAACTCAATGTGTAAAACAGAGAAATCAAAAACTATTCTGGCTGAAGGGGTGTGTCTTAGTTATCTAGTGCTGCTGTAACAGAAATACCACAAGAGGATGGCTTTAACAAAGAGAAATATATTCTCTCACAGTCTAGGAGGCTAAAAGTCCAAATTAGGGTGCCAACTCCAGAGGAAGGCTTTCTCTCTCTGTTGGTTCTGGAGGAAGGTCCTTGTTATCAATATTCCCCTGTTCGAGAAGCTTCTCAGCACAGGAACCCCAGGTCCAAAGGACGTACTGTTCTCCTGGCTCTTGTTTCTTGGTGGTATGAGGTCCCCATGTCTCTCTGCTTGCTTCTTTCTTTTGTATCTCTCAAGAGATTGGTTTAAAACACAAACTAATCTTGTAGATTGAGTCCTGCCTCATCAACATAACTGCTGCTAATCTCATCTCATTAACATCATAGAGACAGGATTTACAAAACATACGAAAATCACATCAGATGACAAAATGGTGGACAATCACACAATACTGGGAATCACTGCCTAGCCAAGTTGACACACATTTTTTGGGGGACACAATACAATCTATAACAGGGTGCTTCCTCTCCTATTTCCTAAGATGTCAGGAATGATGCCTAACATCATTTAAAAACCCTTAACCTGAGGTTAACAAGAAAACCTGCGAGGATGGGAGCATAACTAACAGGCAAACAGGGAAAAGCACTGAGCACTGAAACCTGGTGCTAGAAGACATGGCTACAAAGTTAAGCCAGGCTACTCACAGCCTCCTGCTATTTAACCTCAGGTGTCTCAGCTTCCTCCTGTGTAAAATGAAGGCCAACCTCAAGCGGAAAACATCTGTACCAAGTGTAATCAAGTAGATTAAGCAGCAGCCAAAACAAAAAGTAGAGAAAAGTAAAATTAAGGGAGAAGTGATATCCAGGACATAATTTATTAAATGGAGAAAAGGAGTAAATGTCAACTCATAGTAAGAACAGAGAGATCTGTTGTTAGAAAGGTACCAATTAAGATGGTGCAATGGAAAAAAGATTTATCTGTTAAATTCCTAAAGAAAATCTTCTTTGAAGATAGTGAGGTATAAAGGGAAAAACTGGGAACCAGGAGAGAACCATTTATTAGCATGAAACCTATGGACAAATCATTAAACTCATATAGGTTTTGTGGTCAAACTGAATGAACTCCAAGGTCTTTTCAGGATTACTGTTACAGAAAAATTTCAAAATACTATCAGAACAAAATAATTTAAAAATATATATTCCAAGTAATAAAGACGTATGATAGGCAATGGAAAAGCCTCTAAGTTAACTAATTTTTTTCACATTACTCTGTTTTCTATAACTCATTTTCTGCTGTGCTGCCTAAATTCCTGGCATAAATGCCTTCAATTTTATAATCAGAAAAAAACTTACTAAAAATAAAATGATAAAAAAAAAAAAAAAAGAACAAAGGCCTAATCAAAAGTAAAATACAATAAAGTTTATTCTTACGTGAGAAGTTTAAAAAAAGATTTCTTCCCTTGAGGAATACGGAAGCTGAAGTTACTGCCCAAGGAATTAAATTATTCAAGCATTTTGTTGAGTATTTATATCAACACCTCCCTTAGACTAAAAACTGATTTCAAGCAGAGTCCACACCTGCTTAAGCTGCACCTACAGCACGCCATCATGCACTTACAGACACGTGGTCGACACAACCGGCACTGTGCTTACTTCTCACTAGGGGTATTAATGAATGAATTCGTCTCTAAATTCTTAACTAATATGCAAAGTAATGCTACTTCCCAAGATCGTACTTAGGCAGCTTAAGCACTAAAAGAATTTGTCTAGAAACACATTCCCCACCCATGAAGAATTTCTGCATGTTGTTCTTCAAATGGTTTTCCAAATGTGATGAAAAAGGAGTGTTGGGAACTGCACTCTCTGGAGGTGAGACTGGGTCGTAGGTAAGCCCAGTGAGTAAACTATCAGGCTGCTTCCCCAAGAGCAAGTCCCTTAACTCTGTCTAATCTATCAGTTAGGAACAATATCTGCTCAGAGGATGCTTTTGCAATGCAAAATGAAAACGTCAAGTAAAACCACCATGAAAGCAAGAGCAGAGGATATCATCATCTCTAGCAAATAGCAGAAGTGACATAAAGAAGAATAAAGCAGGTAGACTACTGTGGCGGATCTGGCCTCCAAGCTGAGCTTCGATTCTTCTTAGGGGAAGATGCTTACTTACCTCTTTCTGTAGATTAGAAAGCTGAGATGAAAGGCTCTCAATTCTCATACGACTTTCCATCAGTTCTTCCCTGGCACTGTTGACAGAAGAAGTATTCATCTCTGAGGACAGTCTGGCATTCTCAAGCTAAAAGAAAAAATAAACCATTTTCAGTCTTACTTAGGAAATTAGAACTAACAAATGAGGAAGTATGAATCACCTCAAAGCATTTCAAACATAAACCTTGCTGGTAACTGGCTGATGAAACACAGGAAAAACATCATGATGTTTGCTGACAAGGTATGATTTTTAGAATCAATTCCTAATATTTGAGCTTTAACAATGCTAATGTACCTGGGTCTTTATCCACAGTTTATTACTTCAAGATTTCATGCATTAAATCTTTTAATGTCTCAGGTAATACTGCTAAGGTCAGTAGCAATTTAACTGTGGTGATGTTTGTCAGAAAACAACTATCTCACATCCCTAAGCTATTAAATCTAATACAGAATATAAAGTAGTAAGCAGAAAGTATTAACTAATTTATAATTACTTCAAACCAGACAGAAGGGCTTACTGGTTATCTTCCTTTCAGAAGCAGAAACACCTCCTCAGGTAGAAACAATACTCTGTTCTTCCAAATACCCCTAACATTCTATTCTGTGTGTTCTCAGGGCACGTGTTTTTTATGTGTACCATCTCACCCCTCCTCCCTTTGAGGCCATGGTCTATGTGACTGATCCTGCTCAGCACAATGTCCAGCACTAAATAAGTGTTGGATAATTAAATGTATTGTTTAAAAAGATCTCTTTTTCACCACCCAATTACTACTTCATAAAATGGATTAAAAACAACATGAACAGTTTGAGGCCATGCAATGGAACGTATCTTCAGCACCTCCATGACCCTATTTTTCTAACCCTAAAACTAATAACTCTTTTTAATCGAGTCATATAATATTTAACACGTTAGCGTAAAACCGTTTAAGAGTAAAGCAAGCACTAGTTGGTGATTTTACAGATTTTTTGCATGGTATGCTAATACATGTGGAAAGTTTCTACATTTTGTAAATAAAGAATAACAGCAGCAGATGAAGGAATACCTGAGACTTTCCATTGGCTCTTGTTCAAAAAAGCCCTAAGTGTGGTTGGTCACAACCTACGTACAATGACACGGAAGTCAGACTGCTATGCAACTCGACGCAGTCCAACATTCATTTACTATTGAATGGATATGTAGATTACTGAAATACAAAGACTAATCACCATCTTTACATGGGAAGGAAAGAGGCCCCAAATAGCCAAAGCAATACTGAAGAAGAAAACCAAAGTAGGAGGCCTCACGCTTCCTGATCTCAAAACATAGTATACAGCCACAGTAACCAAAACAGCATGGTACTGGTTCAACGACAGACACATAGAACAGAATTGAGAACCCAGAAGTAAATCCATCTGATTTTCGACTAGGGGTCAAAGTCATTCAATGAGGGAAGGAACAGTCTCTTTAACAAATGGTCCTGGTAAAACTGGATATCCACTTGCAGAAAAATGAAACAATTTTTAGTAGCAATCAGTTTACAAAAAACTGTATTTTTTAAATCCATTTCTATGTTCATGGAAACCAGAGGAATCCATTTAAGAAATTTAAAACAAAATACCAAGTCAACAATAACACAAAGCACTCTTTCACATCCTCTGTGGTGACCGTAGAGCACTGGTTTTAAGTGTTCAAACAACTCCTCTGAAGAGAATGCTCACTTTGGCATGGTAAGTCTGCTCAAGCTCTTCCTTGTACAGCTTTACTTGGGCATCATGTTGTTCTCTCATCTCATGAAGGGCTTGAGCCAGCTTATATTCGTACTCAATCTGACGCCCAGAATCCACCTCTACCAAGCGAGTTTCATGCTTCCTTCTGGTCTCATTAATCTCCTGGGAAAAAAGAAATGACACAAAACAAGTTACTTACTGTGGCTGCACTGGTACAAGTCTGAGTGACATCAAGGTCACCTGGAGTTTTAGATATGAACCTCCTTGTATCTGTCCTAGGGCAGGCATGTAATAGACATGTTTTTGCCTCTAAGAAGCACTTCTTAGTTTCAGGTGAGAATATTTTGAGAAGGGACTAATGACAGAAATGGTGGCATCACAAGCCCTAGGAATCCTCTATTTTCTTTAAGTAGTATACCTTACTTCTTTCTCTGAAGGCAAGGAATGGCCTGGATGATTTTCTAAGGTACCATGCAATCACAGATAACTACACACACTGAACGTTGTTTTTCTAAATTGCTTTATTGAGAATTCTAAGGACACACCTCTGAAAAAAATTTCTAGAGTTAAATTTATCACTCAGGCCTTCAAGCAGATTTATGTATAATAAAGTTATTTTCAAAGACATACTAGGATGCAACAGGCAGAGCAAAATACATTAAGTCCTTTTAACAGCTGGTGGTAAGCTATCAATATCAATTGATAAGGGATCTTATGAACAGTATTACTTGACTAATTCAAGTACATATGACAACTCACTATTAAAGAACAGAAACAGTAGGTATGATCCTTCTACTCTGTTTTAAGTAACTGTTTAAAACTGGAATGGGGAATCTGATATGTGGCAAGGAACAAAAGTCCAAATCAATAAAATTTCCATCTAGGCTTCTAGTTAGGAAAATACAATAGATCTGTCCTTAATGGCAATAACTAAAGAGGCCAGAACAGGGGGATATAACCCACTGAAGTTCTTGTTAAAGTATATTATTTGTACATTTTTTCTGTACATTTACTCTTCTTTCTTGTAACTGTTGCAGAGAAAAACGTACTTGACAGAATCACAAGACCGAGGTTCAAATTTCGGCTACACTATTAACCACCTTAAGCTCAGAACACATTTAATAAAGCAAATGATACTTATACCATGAAAACATGCAAAGGAAAGCTTCAATTTGGTAAACACTGAGCAGTTACTAGAACCCTGGTGGCACGGTGGTTAAGCATTCAGCTGCTAATCGAAAGGCTCCGTGGGAGAAAGATGTGGCAGTTTGTTTCCGTAAAGATTTACAGTCTTGGAAACCCTGTGGAGCAGTTCTACTCTGTCCTATAGGATCGCTAATGAGTTGGAATCTACTTGACAGCAGTGGGTTTGGTCTGGCTTGGTTCAGTAGTTACTAATGATTTTGCCCCTGGTCGTCTTCATCCTGTTTTTCTCCTTCCTTTCTCTCCCTCTTAACTGTTCAGTACTTAGGTATATTTATTGAATAGAATTACATCCTCAATATAAAAAAAGAAATGTTTTATAATCTCCATCCTTAAAAAGGCAAAATTCAAAAAGTCAAATGCTACCCAAACATGCTAAAAATATTAAATTACTTTTTCCTGATACCATTTTTCATGAATTATTTTATGTAGAACCAGTGACCTTGGAAAGAAAAGAATAGCCTACTCATGGTTTAAAGGTGAAGTTTCAAGATGCAGAACTTCACAACATTAAAACTAAGTAATGATAAGTCAGGGACACATTAAAAAAAGACAAAACGAAAATATAAGTCAACTCATATAAAAATATTTGGCTTTATAAGCCAAAATCGTTTTTGTTAACAGTTACAATGGCAGCACTCACTGCAGTCTACAAAAAGCTCTCATGCACAGTATTTCTTTGATCTTCACCACCCATTGGAGAAAAAATTACCAAAGATCAATATTTCATTTTTAAATGAAGAAACTGATTCAAGAGTTGTTTGAGGTCTGGCTGCTTGATCAGTGCACTTTGTACCAATACCTACTTTAATACTACATTGGTATAAAAATTACGCTACTTCTAAAAACATTAATTATTTATGTGTTCTCCAACCTAGGTTAATTCCAAGCCTTTTCAATTTTGAAAGGGTTCCAATGCTTTCTAAAATTTTATTATTTCCTCTGATAAAAGTTGTTCCATCCCCTCCCTCACCCACAAAGGCTTGACCAGTTAAGGCTTGTATGTGACGTTTTAAAATTTACATATATACCTACAGATGCTGTGGGTGGCTAGCCTCCAAGATGGTCCCCAATGATTGCTGCCTCCTGGTACTCACACCAAGGGCCCTGGTGGTTCAGTGGTGAAGCACTCGGCTGCTAACTGAAAGACAGGTGGTTTGAACCCACCAGCCACTCCACAGGAGAAAGATGTGGCAGTCTGCTTCCATACAAGATTTACAGCCTTAGAAACCCATAGGGCAGTTCTACTCTGTCCTATGGGGTCGCTTTGAGTCAGAACAAACTCGATGGCAATGGGTTTGGTTAGCTTTGGTATTCATACCCCAGGTGAGCCCCTCCCACACTATACAGGGATTGGTCTGCAGAAGTGATGGTATGTAACTTCTGTCATTATGTTATAGAAGATATCAAATCTTCTGTCTTAGGGGGTCTCTCTCCCTCATCACTCACTCTTGGAGGGAGGGCTTTCATGAGCAGCCCCAGGAGAAGCTCCTGTGGGGAGGAACTGGCGTCTCCGGCCAACAGCCATGCATGAGCATGGAGGCAGTTCCTCCAGCCCTGGTGGAAAGCTTGACTGCGACCTCATGAGCCTCTGGATCAGAACCACTCAGTTAAGCTGCTCTCAGATACCTGACCTTCAGAAACTGTGTGAGATAAAAAAGGTTTGTTGTTTAAGCTGCTAAATTTTGGAGTAATTTGTTCAGTAGCAATAACTAATACAAATGCCTAAACATGTTGCCAATAATTCACTGCTATGATGAAGCTTTATAAGTTAGATGAGGTGAAAGCATATGTTTATCATCACAACTTGAGTTCTTAGATGCAGCCTTTTAGCAGCAGTACCCACAAAATTTATCCCACTTCCAAATCTTATCATCTTTTAATCTGATAGTTTAAAATATATTTTTTACATATTTAGCGGTAAGAAAGTCTTGCAGGTCCCCTCCATTCCTTAAAAAAGCAAAAATATATACAGTTACCTCTTCATACATGTTTTTACGGAACTCTAAGTCCTCAGTAAGGCTCTGACAGCGATTCTCCAAATCCACTTTAAGTAAAGTTTCATCAGCTAACTGTTTTTTGGCAGCAGCTAAGGAGGCTTCCAACTATAAAAAGGAAAAGAAATTGTGATAAAAATTACACAGCAATCATTTAATAATGAATTTAAGGTACCTATGAATTAAACCAAATCAAGTATTATAATTTCTATACATTTATCAATGTATGAGTACCTCACTTTAACCTTTATTATAGAACTGTGTGTATTCAATTGCTGGTTCCACCCACAGGGCGCCATACCAAATCAGCTCTCAAATTTGAAAATGGGCAACAGGGATGAAACAGAGACCTATGATTCACGTGTAAAAAATCATACCAAATATTTCAGCTAACCACTTTCATCTTCTCCTGTGTGCAGGGCAGTGTTATAGTATCTTTTCCTATCTCACATTTTGGTGCAATAACGAAATAGGCTTTGAGAGCAAGACACAGAAAGAGCATAAAGAGAAAGGAGAAAAAGAAGTAAAGAGACCTGCGTAATCTAGATGTGATTGAGAGGTGATGACGCTTTCCATGTTAGCTACCTCAAGACTTTTCTTCAGGCCACCTCTTTATTAAGGGCAAGCCTCAAAAACAAACGAGCAAACCACAAACAAAAAACATAGCTTAAGTTCAGCCTGGGAGTGGACAGCCCCGTAAAACCAAATGGGACTAATGAGGTATAGCAGTCCAGTGACAAGGGCCAGAAGGCAGAAGGGGACAAGGAAGCTGGTGATAGGGAACCCAAGGTTGAGTAAGGATATTGTTGATGTGTTGTGAGATT